GGCAAAGATAGATAGATAGAGAGTCCATAAATTATTGTAAGAGCTGGAGAAATAACGGCAATGACAAAAATCAATTTCCATACAAAAAAAAATGAAAAAAAAATTCTTGGGAATTTTTTTCATTTTTTACTCCCTTCCTCTTGATACACTAAAAAGAATTCCGCCATTCGCCGCAAAGATCACGCTGCCTCGTCTTCACTGGTCCGGCGCAGACGCGCCGTCACGCGCCACGGCGAGTCGCCAGCGCGCGTGGGCGGAACGTTGCCGCCCGCGTCCTCCAGCGCCCCTCCCGCCGCGGAGAGCGAGGGGCCGAGCGGCCACGTCCCTCGAGGCGTAGCTTGGGCCGGGCGCGTGGCGTCCAACAGAACTACCGCGCGTGGGTTCATGGGGCCGCGCTTCTTTGCGTGCTCCGCCCGGCCCCCCGGATGCAACGAGGCCGGTGCCGACCGCGGCCTGCGGTGGACCCCGCGCCGCCTCGGGGACGGGCGCGCCCGCCCCCGCAGAGGCTTCCCGTTGCGGTGGGCGTCCGTCTTTCGCCCCAGCTTCAAGTGCGTCTACCGCGCGCTTTCAAGCCAACGAGGATGAATTCCTGCAGAAAGCACCTGCCGACGCGACGCTGGGGAACGGGCCGGTGTGTGCGCGGTCCTGACGGCAGGGCGGCGCGGAGAGATGAATGGTGGGGCGTACGGAAGCAGTGCTTCTTTTTTTTCCCCGCGTGTCGGGTCCATGGCGTGTTTCGGAGGAGAAAGAATGCAATAAGTAAGAAGAATAAAGCATAAAAATGAGGTTTAATGGTGGGAATTTTTTTATTGTCGGTGCGTTGGGAACATTTTTCATTTATTTTTTCTTTGTTGGGGATCTTGCTTTGTTTATTTTTTTTCTGTATTTGCTAGTAGTTTTTCTTTGATGCTTTTGTTTTGTTTGAGGTGTTTGCTCAGACCTGTGGCGATCGTATTTGTGTTTCTATCTGTTTCAAGCCCGAGCCGTATTTGGATTGAAGTTTTTTACATGTGTATCTTTTATTTGTTATGTTTCTCATCTATTTGTTTTTTTTATGACTTGAGTGGTGTACTAAGATGTTTCTATTGTACTGTTTCGTGCGTTATTGTTTTCTTTAGCAAACTCTGCATTTCTTTAAGGGTCACTATGAAGTTGGCGGCTTTGCTGCTTTTGCAGCTCTGTCTTATAATAGTAACTACTGTAGATGTCTGTTACGGTGAAAGCAGAGCGAATACCCATATTGGTACCACAGTGCCACTTGAAATCCACCGAATAATTGCGGTTGGAGATGTACATGGTGATGCGGACAATTTTAGACAAATTTTGTTCATGACTGGCATTATATCCTATTCCTCAAACACGGATAAAAATGTAATCTGGAAGCCGATGTGGGATGAAAAGGAAATTGAGCTGCGCAAGAGCCATCGGACGAAGCTTCGAACAACCCTTATACAGATGGGTGATTTGATAGATCGGGGGGAGGATGATTTGGCAGTTCTTGAAATGGCAGCTTCGCTTTTAGATCAAGTGAAATCAAATCATACGAGTGATAACTTTGTGCTGCTACTAGGCAATCACGAGTTACTTAATCTTCAACAACAGTTTCATTACGTTCATCCTGAATCTATGGGTGGATTTTTGACAAAGGCCTTGCGCAAGCGTGCATTTGAATCCAATGGCATCTTTGGACGCTTTCTATTATACAATTTTACGGTAGCACATTTTGATGCAGAGACTCTGTTCGTTCATGCTGGTCTTAACGAGCATTTTGCTTCTATGGGAGTTGACAGGTTAAATAAAGAAACAATGCAGGCAGTTCGTGAGAAAGATTATCAAAACCCTCTTCTTGGTGCTTTTGGTCCGTTATGGACACGACGGATGTTAATGGATGCGACAAATGGCCACTGCACGGGTATTAAAAAAATGATTTCCTCTATTGGAGCAAAAAGGATTGTTGTAGGACATACACCACAGAGATCAGGGCATGTGGAACTATTTTGTGATGATAGTGTCATTGCTGTTGATGTTGGACTGAGTAGATGGATGTATGGCAATCTTGCTGCTCTCGAATTAATGGTTACGACGTATAAATCCGATTCGGGTATTTGGAGAGATGTCGTTATGCGTGAAGTAACTACTTCTGATAGTAGAAGGTTCCGAACCCTTGATGAGAGCCTTACAGACCCTTTGCTTTTGGAAGAATTAAACCATGCGGTAGAGGAATATTATCAATCAGAAAATACTGTTCCAACTGAGGATCTAGTTGGTGATTTGTGATTGGGCGTCTCTTTCCTATACTTTACTTCTTTTTTTGCTCTTTGTGACCCATTTTTACATTCACTTTCGTTGTCTTACCTCCTCTTCCTCTCTGTCTCCTTGACTAGGTGCCTTTCATCTTTTGCTTTCTTTTTTTTATATACATATATATTATCTAATCTTATCTGAACTTAATCAAAAAGTGAGCGCAGATCTACTTTTTTTTTCTCTTTCCATTATTTTTATTATATTTGTGTTCTTGGAAGTTGTGTCAAGTCTCAATTCAATGCCTGCTAAACGAAAGCATAACAGCAATGCTCAAGGTGCCGATTTGACAGCATACCATTTTAACAATAGATATACCTCCCAGCCGTTTCATGTCTCGCAGTTGCAACAAACAGTTTACCCGGGCGAGTTACAAAACTTGTGGCTGCAGCAAGCTGTTCCGATACCCCAAGCCTACTACTCTATGTCCCCTCAGGGAAACTATCCTCCCGGTTTTGTGCCCGTGCCAAATTTACCTCCTCAGGGTAACATAACCACATC